TATTTTTGAGATATCGAAGCTTCTTGATGACAATTGCAAGTCTTATAAGACGACGATTTTATAGAAATTGCATAGGAATCTTCGCGGAATTTGAGATATGACCCACAAAAAGTTTTTATATATATATTTTTTTTTATAAATTGCGAACGACCACCAAAAAGAGTGAAGGAGTCAATATTTATTAATTTGTTTCTACTTTCTAGTAAGGATTTGGCTGGTTGAGAATTAATAATTTCAATGTAAACGAAAGCAACAGGAAGAAGTGTTATTACTCGTTACGCCGCGTGTACGACCTTACACCGTTGATTTTTGACCCTATTGACTCATTCGGTCACATAAGAATTTGTCAAGCAAGTTCTCTACAGTAATTGTGTTCTTGCAAACGTTGAATCACATCAAAACCAAAACTAAAATATCAAATCGAGATTGAAGTCACAATGAAGTGAGTTTAAAAAAAAAAAGCAGGTGTTTTTTTCCAATGATTAGATAACTATTTTTTTTCTTAGAAACACAATCATTTATAAATAGATTGTTTGTTTGAGGCTCTTTTTAAAAAACCGAAACAAGTTTAGGTAAGCCTTGCTAACGAACTTACCAATTTGGAGAATTGACATATATAACAAAAAATGTCTGGATCCATTTGTATTGACTGCAAATGCGACTCAATTAAGGAATGTTTGAATTGCTGGTCTCGTTTAATAAAAATGATTCGATAAATTAAAATGAAGAAATGAGGCATAAATGCTGGCTTGACCATTAAAAGATAAACCCAAAGCCCTTCTTCTTGCAACATTGTTCACTGTTCACAGCTGATTGATTCAATTCGGCCACCTCCAACAAGAAGAGATAACGTTTGTTTGGTTTCCACTGGACCTTAAAACATCTGATTTGTTCTTGATAAATATTTGATTGGTTTCCAATTGGGACTTCTACCATTTGGTATCAGAACACATTTTACTTTTCATAATTCAAAATCTCTATAAAAAATTGTTTTGATACTTTTCGAGTTCACGTCTTGAGTTTCGCTATTTATTTACAATATAAACTTGTTTTGTTTTGATCTAACAAAAAAAAAGCGTACTTCTTGCATCGTTATCTCGAGTTTTTTTTTCATAAAAAAAAGTTACTCTTATTATTTTATTTTTTTGGTTATGCAGAGTTTAGAAAAAAAAAATTGATATTCAATAAAATATAACCGTTCAAGTCTGTTTCTCTTCAATAATGATTTTTCCCTAGAATAAGCCCATACGAGAAATGTATATTACAGTACCCAGAAAACACACTTCCATCAAAATTAAGTGTTATATAACTTACATTATTCAAAATAAATAAAGAAAATTCACATAAGCACACAAGTATTTGGTCCGTCCACCATAACTCCACAATTCGCATATGGATGGTAGTAAGAATTTGCATAGGAAGCATGGTATTGGTAGGGGTAGTTCATATGCGTAACCGGAAATGTAACAATTTCAGCCGGTTTAGGATCAGGCTTTTTCTCCGGTGGTTTAACAACTTCAACAGAAACAATCTCTGCGTTACATATCTTCCTTAGCTTCATCACAATAACCGGTACATCAACATCGCCAACTACCGTCATTTTCCCGGTTTTGTCATCCATTGCGATTGAAGTAACCCCTATACAAAAAATTAATAATCATGAGAAATTGTTTATTTCCCCAACATAAACAATATCATATTGATACCAAAAAAACACAATATCATATGGTAAATTCTGAAAATTAATTTATAAAGACATATACCTGCAACTCGAGAAACGGTCACCAATACTTTCTTCCTGATTCTCTCCTCGTGAACACTTAGTTGCAAAACAGCTTTCTGTCAATTGAAACCAGAGATAAGTCAGGCTATATATATAAATTTGCATATTTTAAAGTTTTAAACATAAGTATGGTTGAACAGTTTCTGTTTCAAGAGTAATCAACGGATCACTATAAATGAAATAATAATGATTTCAAGAGAGAATAAAAAGGAAAGAAAGGTTATACCTTCGCGGTCATGGCTCAAGAAAACTATTAGAAAAGCTTGAGAAATTTTCGTTATATATTTGTTAGAGATATATTTTTGAGATATCGAAGCTTCTTGATGACAATTGCAAGTCTTAAGATGACGATTATATAGAAATTGCATAGGAATCTACGCGGAATTTGAGATATGTATGACCCACAAAAAGAGTGAATGAGTCAATATATATTAATTTCTTTCTACTTTCTAGTAGTACTATTAAGGATTTGGCTGGTTAAGAATTAATAATTTCAATGAACGAAAGCAACAGGAAGAAGTGTTATTACTCTTGAGGCCGCGTGTTCGATCTTACACCGTTGATTTTTGACCCTATTGACTCATTCGGTCACATAAGAACTTGTCAAGCAAGTTCTCTACAATAATTGTGTTCTTGCAAAAGTTGAATCATATCAAAAACCAAAACCAAAATATCACATCAAATTGAAGTCACAATGAAATGAGCTTCTTAAAAAAAATCAGGTTTTTTTTCCAATGATTAGATAACTATTTTTTTTCTTAGAAACACAATCTTCTATAAATAGTTTATTTGTTTGAGGCTTTTTTTTGTTTTTGAGGCTCTTTGTAAAAAACCCAAATATGTTTAGGTAAATTCGTTAGCAAGGATGCAATGTTTTCAA